AATGCATAAAGCACCACCCAGTATAAAAGCAGATTTTTAAACAATGCATTCATTAAGGTCAAAGCAGCAGAGTTCAGTTTGAAGTGGTTGCACTTGACATGGAATCAGACGGTGTATCTCCTCTCTGTTCTCACATTTAGCTGTTGTTCGTCACAGCACACACGCCTTAGATGCATTTTAAACCCCATGAGACTTTGGTTCTTTCATAATTTTGTGATCCACTGATCACCTGTAATGAATATGAGTCACTGATATTAAGATTACTCTGTTGATGACAAAATTTCTGTCCATAGTTTATTTAACAAGCGCACATAGACCTAAAAGTCTAAGAAGAATAAAGCATTAGTGTAACGTGTAAAGAAGTTGTTCTGGATTGGGAGTTTGTGTTGTCGATAAATAATGTGTTCATTACTAATCTGTGTTTTGTTACCTTATCAGAATATTACAGTACTCTAAGATGTCCGATATGGTTATGGAAGAGAAGAAAAAGTATGTCAAGCTGAAGCAGATGGCCTCACAGACGATCACAGAATTGACGGAACAGATTAAGGTCCTGGAAAATGAATCGGAAATCCAGCGAACCATTGCCATCAACAAGGACAGGTGTGTTTAGGATACGTGGTCATAACCAAATACTATAATAGCATTATAACAGATCCTGATTCTTTAAAAGTTACAATGTCAAGCTGTGTGCAACGAGTTATGTTTTATTGAGTTTCTGTGTGTAATTTTGATCTTTTTCCCTTTATATACGTCTATTTCAGAGGACTCTCAAAGGCTCGTATGAAGATCTCCAATACTTCGAAAACAAGGGACAAGCTACGCAATGACATTTCCAAGGTTCACAGACACACACACACCCTTTGCACTATGGCAGTATCACAATTTAGACAGTTTAAACAAACATTAAATGAGCTGCGAGACATCCAAAGTTGTATACAGACACAAATAAGACAGGGGTGAACGCATTGCTAGCATTTTATAGTAAAACGTGTTGGGGTTTTTTGTTTATCACTGTTGTTAGAATGATCTTACCTGAAGTGCTTTATTACTGTGCCATATATTAATCTCATATTAATCAAACTGCCATATAATCATATAGTGTAGTGTTAAGTGGACACAGCCCTGAATAATAAAGGCATTAGAATAGGTGTCCTTCAGTCGTAGACTCTCACCCATGTTTGCCTGTAGAGCAGTAGATAGTAGAGGGAACCATCTTGTAGTGGAAACTTACTGAAATGCTGTTGTTTAGACTAGAATAGGGTGCCCGGTAATAAAACTGTCAGGTGCCCGTCACCATTTTGAGATCCACGGCAACGTTCCTTGCAGGACGCATCTCCCTTCTAGAAGTATTGTGTGAAAGTGAAATATAGTGTTAAATGGTCTACTGAGCAGTGTTTTATCTTCCATCGGCTGCCTCTGAGGAATCAAAAGAACTCGGTGAAGGGTTAGGGACAGTACTTTGCTCAGGGGTACGTCAGGGTAGCCGTTCAGTGGATTCGAACCCCGACCTTCCGATCATGGGGCGACCACTCTACCTACTGAGCTATCCCTGCCCACAAATTATGAAAAACGTGAAAAGATTCCTGACTTACCCAAATGACATTTCAAGAAGGTTCCTCTCCTGGATGTTATACTTGTACCATCTTTGCTTTTGCAGAATTCTCCCACAGATTTAGATTTAGGATTCTGGCCCACCTCTGGCCCAAAAAGCCTTCATCGCAGAGCTGGCTTTGAGTTTGATGAGTGATGACCAGTGGATAACAGTGATGTGCTTTTGAAATGACCTGG